AGAATAGCAGCTAGTTCCTTCTGAGACCACTTCTGTCTTTCCTGTGCACTCAAGCAGGCAGGGGTGTGTAAAAGCAATTTAAAATTTCTCTTCTTTGCAAGGTCTGCAGGAAATTTGACAGCGATAAGGAGGCTGGTGCTCTAGGCTCCTGGCTTGCTTGCCAAGCTTTCCTCCTCTTCCTCTCCCTCTCATATTCAGATCCATCGTTTGACTTGTCCACCACTTTTGGGACAGGGGTGGGGCAAGGGATGGCCTGTGTTGATACAGCTCTGTAGTCCTGCAATGTTGTAGCTCAGATCAATTTAGCACTCTGGCTTACAGCCAGCCCAGGAAAGAGTTGTGATGGGAGAGTTGGCAGGGCACGGGGCTGCAGCAGGGCAGAGTGGGCATGGGAGTGGGGACAGCTCCTTGCGCTGCTTACAAGCAGCATGCAGTAAACTCCTGGAGTGAAATTTCAGTCTGAGAGCTTGAGGAAGATTAATGAGAGCCTCAGATCTTGGCCTAGTAAAACTTAACATCTCTTTTTATCTTCAAAGCTCTTCATAAATGTCAACCATTTCACCCTCATAATACCACCCCAAGCAGGGTGAGGAAGTTAAAGGCTCAGTAAGGGCAGAACTGAAGGAGCCGGGTACTTGTAATTGATGCTAGAGTTTCTAAAGCATTTAGTTCCCTCTGAAATGCCTCACCACAAATCAGATTTTGAGATAGGCGCTGAATGCAGCTGCAGACCTGCAGCAGGGCTTCAGCAGTGCCTCCTTTCCTCTGCTGGAAGATGATTTCTGGGACTGATTATTTGATTCCAGCTCAGATTTGCACAAGGAGGCAGCATTGCCACCTCTCACAGGGACCGCTTGACCCTTCTCAGGGACAACTTCTAAGGCTTTTTTTTCCTGCAGTCTTTCCCGGTTCTCAAACTGGGAACCCTCCTGACTACCCCCCACACTAAGAGGCGCTGACCCCTCTGCCAAGCACTGCCCTGTGCTGAGCTTTATTATGCGAGAGCGGTGCTGACACCAAAAAGCCCTCACAGCCTGAAAAACGTGCCCTCTGGCCTCTGGCTCACCCTGCCCTTGTTATCGAAGCATTTCCTCTCCACTGCTCCTCAAGCCCTTGCACCAGCAAAGCAGAACCTCATTGTTTCTTCCAGTTTCCTGCAGCCTGTCTGTCTTCATGCACAAACTGGGCTGTCTCGGGCAGTGGCCAGGTACACAAAAGAGCCCACGCTCTTCATGGGAGCTGTGTTACCACCTCTCTCCCCTTATTCAGCCAACAGGACATGCTCATGCCAGAAAGACCCAAGCTAGGGCAAAAAATGCTTTACAACCCCTCTCCAGCTTTCTCATACACTAAGGAGAGAAGAGGGCAAGAGAGGAGGAGGTGAGGCTTTGAATTTTTCTGTCCTGTGCTACTTGCTGTTGACTCCTGTCACATTCAATAACCTATTCCCCACCCCCCCCACTATGTCTCCCTACTGCCTGTGAGTGTGTTTCTACAAGCCCATTTGCCTACCCAGTCTTCAGAGTTTCCCTTCTCCTTGCATGCAGGGTGCCCTCCTGCCCACTCCTGCCAAGTGCCACAAAGTGCTCGCCCAACCTGCCTCTCTTGCCAGCACTCTTCTGGAACAGCTATAGGTGGCACAAGGATTAGCTTTCTTTGCTGATAAAGATGCTGTGTAGCAGAGTTGTTCCCTGACACACTCTCCCTAGGATGCTCACTCAGGCAATGTGGGATGTTATGCTCTGTTTGCTCAGCACTGAGCAGTTCATGGAAAGGAGAGCTGCATCTTCCTCTGCCTACATACCCAGCACAGGACAGTACATGTGGGATAAACCTCTGTGCTCTCAAGTAGCTCACAGGGAAACTTTGCTTTTCATTAGCAAAAAGAGCAGGATGTGTCTCATAGCAGCATTGTGCTTCAGACCAAGGAAAAATCCTATGGTTGAGGGATGGTGGAGGCAACTCATCCCTTGGCAGAAAGCGGCTGGATACCTGCTGGCCTGGAGGTGCTCTCAGGGCCTAGGCTTTGATAACAATGCTGTGAACTGAATCACTGCTTTCCCTTCCACTTGTTGGAAGTGCTTAAATAGGGCACCTGTTTTTCTCCCTTGTCCCCAGGCTGTTCTAATGGTGGTGAAGCAATTTCTTTTCCACCCAGTAGCAAGACTCCTTCCTCTCTATGCACAGCTTAGAGCACCAGTGCCGAATACAGGCTTTTGGCCTTTGGGAATGATAATAATATCCAAATAATTTTCCATTTTGTGGAGTACATCCTGAGTGCACAGCCCAGCAAGGGGCTCCTCACATAATACTTGGAGCGATTATTTCCCCCCATGCTCCTCGTCCTCTCAAGAGTCTCCTCCAAACAAAGCCCCAGATAAACAGGCTTTTCAAGAGCCTGAGCATGCTCTGAAGTGGAAACTACATTTCGTCTGCAGCTCCCAGAGGCTGATGGCGTGAGAGTTATTGCATTGGAGAGAAGAGTAAGTTGGGGCACACAAGGGGCTGCTGGCTCCTCCCCCCAAAAAAGAATGGAAAGACAGCAAGCACCAGGAGCTACACCTCAGTGGGACACAGCAGGTGGGATGGGATTTGGTAGTATTGCAACACAAGCAAGGGTACTAAGCAGAAGGAGAGAGAAACTGCCAAGCATCACAGCTTCAGATGGATCCAGAAACTAGAGAGGCTCCCATATTTATTGGGTTGCATGCAGTGACTGTACTGTGGATTTGGGAGGAGTAAGACTGCCAGGCAGGGAGACCTGCCTTCCCTCCACAATGAGACCAGGAAAACAGCAGCAGCAAACAGGGCTCTCTCCCCTTGTGCAGGGATCTCAATGCTTCTCTCAAGCAACCATCTACAGACAGCTGTGCTTATTCTGCTAAGGCACCAGCTTAATTGGTGACCTGGCTGTTTATCTTAAAAAATACACAGTTGCCCTTCTTGTGCAGCCTTATGTCAAGGAACATAATAGCTCTGACCTCACCCAAAATGCTTTTCCCCTTCCAGATTTTCAATAAAAAGCCCTTCCTTCACAGTTCCTCACTCTGCCTGCTCTGATATGGTGCTTTGTCCTGGCAAACCAAGGCAGAGTCAGCTGTGCGACTCCACAGGGAAAATATTTTGCTGGCATGCCTCATGGTGCTGCACCCGGGCATCACTGAGAATTCTGTCAATACCTGTCGTGATGGTGCTGCTTCATGACTTAGGGATGGATTTTCAGAAAGAGTTAAAGATTGCAATTTGCAGATAAGAAGTGCAGGCTTTCTTGAAAATCCATTAGGTATCTACCTGCTCTAAACCCTTAGGTTTCTAGATGCTTTTGGAAATATTGGCCCAGAGATGTTTAAACAACAGCAGCAAACCTCCTGCTACCCTAACTAGCTCCCAGACATTTCTCAAACTGCTCCTTGGCAGCTCCCAAATAGACTGAAATACATTGCCCGGACTCAGATTTTTAAGGAAACAAAACAGCAGCTGAGAACATCAGTCACAGCAAAGCCTGTTTTGGCAACATAGACACTCTGGGTTAGGTCATGCGCAAATGGCACAGATGTGATTGCTCTTTTAGTTACAGGCTGAAATTTGTGTATCTCATACAAAAAGGACATTCCTCTCCCCCTGCCTTCTTCGCCGCCCCCCCCCCCCCAAGTATTTTACGAGCTTTTAAGTTAAAACAGGAGAATGTAAGCTGATGTAAAGGAGGTTTTCATCATATAATAAAGTGGGGGTCATCTCACATGCCACACATCTCATGTGAGAGGGTGGGGAGGAGGAGGGGAACATGGGAAAAATATTCTCAAGAGGAGACCATATCTCCAAACACAGCCAGGCAAATGTGTGTATGCATAGGTATATATGTGCATAAAACTGGCAGGATCCAACTGTGTTTACTGATCCTCCAAGAGGTACTATTAGAGCATGTTTTTTAACCAGGAAAACTGTATTCCTTTAAGCCAACAGAGAGACAAGCAGACATAGAAGTCAGGCAGGGCAAGTAAGATCCCTTAACACCAGAGTGAAGTGAGAAAAGGGTGTTTTGCTTTCCCCTGTCTTTGCAGAAAGGTTGACCTTACATTACAGTGCAATGTAATGATATTCTGCTCCTCTTTTCTTTTTCTTTTCATTTTTGCTAGGGAAATGGCAGGATCCAGACATCACTGTGCTTACAGGAACATCCATTACATAGACCCTCGTGCAACTAGGGTGTGCAGTGAAATTGCTGATCCATTGCTTCTCCTGTGTGCGACTGACACTTACACAATGGCATCAATGTTTTTCATGGACAGCCAAGCCACTGCAAGGGTCTGGACTATTTTGTGAGTCCACTGCATGACCACATCTCTGCTTCTTGAACAGGCTTGGCACATTGTGGGGCTGTTAATAAAGACACTGGGTTTGCTGGGAAAATATCCAGGTAACAGTGTCCTTGAGAGTCCTGCTGAGGCCCTCTGCACCTAGGTCCCACCACTGCCCTACAGGATGAGCTCAGCAGTGCTGCGTGGCCTTGCTCTTGCCCCACTCACAGCTTGATGGTGGCTCAAAGGGGTGGGTAGGCTCATTTTTACCCACCCCCCACAAGGTGTTTGTTTCTGGGAGGCTGCAGCTGTAGCTGGCCTCACAAAAGGGCCAGCATCACAGCTTCAGCAAGATCACTGTCTCAATGGGTTCAAAATAAAGTGGCTGATGGAAAACTGTAGAAAATTGTCAGATTTTCTCCTAAGAATGATCTCTTTTTATTTCTTTTTCTTTTTTTTTTTTTAACAGAAGTATATTAATGACAAATATCTTTTAAACTATTGTAACAGATATGAGCCAAATATACACCAAAAATATATGTCACAAGACTATTCCTAGCAAATGCTACTTCTGTCTCAGCGTTCATTAAAGGTACACATCAATGTTCCTACATTGTCTTGCTGCTACTCAGACTCTGTCTTTCACCCCCAGATGCACAGCATGGCACAGAATCAGGCCCATGGGAAGTGCTGAGAGGCAGAAAGGGAGCAGAGAAACAGGGTATGTTTCCAAACTCCACAGGAGCCACTGCATGGAAAATGCATCTCTTCTAGTCCCAGCAGGGTAAGGACAAAGGAATTGAATTGTTTCCTAGAAAAGAAAAAATTCGGAGTAAAATCAGTGTTCTGTCATGGCGCCTCCTTAGGATGAACTTTTTGTTTAATTTTTCTTATTTATTTTTCACTATCTAGGTTTTGTTTGTGTGTTACACCCACTGTGTGGCCCCACCATCAGGCTTCTAGCAACCACAGACCTGCTTCCATGGCTCATCACACACAATCCTCCTGGGATGTACCATTAGCCACTGAGCACCACATGCGGCCACCAAGTTTCCCATGGGAGTGTGAGAACTGAGTCAAGTAGGGGCCCAGGACAGCAAGTATCTGACGTGCATAACTCAAAAACAGGTAGTAAATCTGCTGTTTGGATAATGATGCTCCTCGTTATGGTCTCAGACAAAACACCACTGAAACCTCACAGAATCAAATTACTATATAGTTTTTCTAGTGCCCAGCTACAGAAAGATCCAAGATTGCTGGAAGGCTGGAAGGACATGGTACTGTAGCCCATAACTCCTTGAACTAGAAGTTATTTAGGAAGGATTTCTGCAATGTGACTCCTGACAGGAAAACAGGTCCCTTGGGCTGAAAGTTTTCCAAGGATCTGGCTTGTAGGCTACAGCTCCCCTGAGGCTACATATTCAGTAGCAAAGGGAGAAGCTGTAGGGTCACCAAATGGGGACAAAAAGGTGAGAGGTGGGGAAAACACCAGTCCTTCACCAGTTGTACCTGTTTCTGTATTTCCCTCCATGTCTTGGAGGTAGCACAGCCGCCTCTTCTTGGGCCAAGAGTAACACTCAGGTTTCACCACTTGAGGCTGGAATTTATCTCCTTTTGGGGGTTTTAAGGTTCAGTCTGCATGGGTGCCCTTAAACGTCATGGGAGAACAACAGACAATGACTTGTAAAAGTCAATATATACCACCTATTTTGACAACCTATTTTATGAAGATGACTCTTGGTGCACTGATGAGACAATGAGCTTCAGAAAATAAATCCAAGAAGCTAAAGGGCCTCTATAAATAAAAGACCAAATATGGGTTTATCTCTGAGACCTCCACTCAGTTTGTCACTGACCAACAGCAGTGTCATTGGAATGTGAGTATACAGTAACAATATTGGACTATACATTGGACTCTTTTCTCCACCTCCTCTAAATTAAGGAAGAACAATTAAATGACTGCAAAATCAAATAAATTGCAAGGAAAACAGAAGAAGTTTCAATTTGTTCTACTTGCTGGAAACTCCAGGACACCTGCTGCATTAGTGACAGGCCAAAATATTTTCTATTTGCCTTGTGAAAATGGCATCACACAACAGACAAAAGAGCAACATATGTGGACTTAGCATTGCCATTGAAGTCACACTGGCATGCACAGGAGAAGAAAGTCATGAGTAAGTCTACTTAAGGGGAGAAAGGTAAAATCCAGGCCAATTAGCTTCTGAAGTAGCTCAGAAAACCTTGCAGCTGCACAAGGAAAGCAAAGAAATCAAGAGAAACACCAGATTGTGAGGGATCAGCTGTGAGAAACACAAGCCAATATGAAAATCTTCTCAATCCTTCTCTAGATAAGATCTTGGGAACAGAGTTAATCTGTATGATACTGATCTAATGTAATGCTATTGCTGCTTCTGAGCAGCTATAGCCAGAGATGGCTGTGCATGGGACTAGAAAATAACTGCTGTGTGTCCACAGCTGTCACAAGACACAGCATGGACCGGCTCGTGGTCTGCACACTGCCAAGGCAGTCCTGCAAAGAACTGTCTCAGGAACCAGAGATGAGAAAAGCAAGGCTCTGAGTTCACAGATGCAGTAAATTCTTGTCAACTGGAAGGTGGCAAGGCAGAAGAAGATGCTCTGATCTTCTGACTTTGGACTCCTAATACTCACTTTATAGTGAGTTTGGCTATATCAAGTTTTGCTCTCACTGGACCACTGCTGAGTGTAGACACCTAAGCACAAAAGGCCACCTGACTTTCTTGGTGGTGACATGGCCTTCCCTTCCCTTTCCTGTATTTCTTTCATTGTGAGTTTCCTACTTCTGCACACTTCTAAGGGTCAGTGGTGCAGGATACTTGGGCTTTCCCTCCAGTGGGAGGAGCAGCCCATGCTCTGTCTCACCACCCTCTGTGGCGCTGCACTCAGGGCAGCTCCTGCGTCCTGGGCACTTTTCCTTCAACCTCCTCCATGAGGGGCCCAAATGCAACAAACTTCTAGGGTGACTTTGCAGGAAACAGCTTTTGACTAAGAAAGGTTAAAACGAGAAATCAAAGAAGGAAGAGTTGATCGTTGGACAAAACCAGTGATACAGAGATGAGCAAGAAAATTCAGGCTGCAGTCAGAGGCCACCACCTGACTTGTGCACCCTTGATCCCATGCTGTCAAGACAAAAGCAATGCCCTGGCAGAAGTTAGAGCTACCTGAAGGCTGCTATAATTTAGTGTGGGCTGCCAGTATTCCCATAAAGCAGCTACAGCAGATGTTACAGAAAAAAAAGAAAAAAAAAAGAGAGGAAACTCTGAGGGTGATGTCCCCTCTGTCAGGCAGAAAGAGCAGGGTGGAAGCGCTATCCTGTGGCATTGTGGAAATCACTATGGCATTTCTTCATCACTGCAATTTTAATCATAGAATGGTTTGGGTTGGAAGGGACCTTTAAAGATCATCTAGTCCAATCCCCTTGCAATGAGCAGGGACATCTTTAACTAGATCAAGTTACTCAGAGCCCTGTTCAGCCTGACCTTGAATGTTTCCGGGGATGGGGCATCCACAGCTTCTCTGGGCAACCTGTTCCAGTGTTTTACCACCCTCATTGTAAAGAGCTTCTTGCTTCTATTGAATCTAAATCAACCTTCCTTCAGTTGAAAACCATTACCTCTTTCCTATCGCAACAGGCCTTGAAAAGAAGTATGTCCCCGTCTTTCTTATAGGCCGCCCTTCTAAGTACTGAGAGGCCACAGTAAGTTCTCCCTGGAACCTTCTCTTCTCTAATGATGAGCTGTTGCTTGCATCTCCGTGTTAAAAATACTGAATAGTTTCAGTTCCTGGGCTGTTATATCACTTTTAAGGCTCTCACATTTGTGGGATGCTGGGCTGCAGCATCCAGCCGGAGACAGGTACTTCACACCACTTAGCCCAGCATGTCAGAACAAGTGGTATAAAGAGATATGACTCAGACTGAAATTGAGGTGTTTACCTTAGGGGAAACTGCAAGAAAAAAAACCCACTCAGATTTAGAAAGCTTTTTAACACCATGAATGAGAGATGAGCTCACCACAACAGAGCTCAGAGTAAGTGCTGGCTGTGGGAATGTCCCCAGAGGGGAGGATGGCAGGGCAAGGACAGCATTTGGAAGGACAGGTGCAGTGTTTCCCCACTTTCCCCATGCAGGAAGGCACAGACAGGCTGCAGCTGTGAGCAGACAGCCTTTGACTCCCATCAGGACTCTCCCATCCCGGGGATGAGTGGGGAAAACCGCATAAACAGCTTTTTGAGTGGAGAAGTCAGTTAATGATAATTTCAAAGAAAATAACTAGGGAAAACTTTACCATTTTTCTGCTGTTCCCAGGACATCTACATTCACAGAGCCAGAGCCTGACATGGCATGGTGGTGTTAATTACCCAGGGAGCTAGCCTATATCTCCAGATCTGCATGATGGCAGTTCCTTCAAATGCTTTAAGGATCCCCTGAAGAGCCCCAGTGATGCTCACCCACTCTTCACTGCTGGTGCAGAGGTTAAAGCAGAGAGCCATCCAAACTCTGCTGAATTAGTTCTCTGAATCATCCCTTTCCTGAGGACTATCTTTGCTGAATTTAGAAGTGCCGTTTACTTATAAGCACAAAAGGCTGCTGTGCTTTCCAGGGGCAAGCAACAAGCCATGCCTGAAAGCTCTCAGGGGATGAGTTTTTTTCACAGAGGAGAGGCAGACAAGAAAGCAAAGGTGTGAGTGACAGTCCAGCCATCAAGTCTGAGGAGGAAGGTCCCTCTGGGTCTCACTTCAAAGAAATAGCTGAGAAAACAGCAAGTGGAGAGCAGAAGCACTGACCTAGAAGGTGCCTGGCACCTCAGTGGGGGCAGCATCGTTAGGAAGGAGAGAGGAGAATGGCTTGAGAAGAGCTTGGGAAAAGCAGACATTTTCTTACACTGTGTTTAAAATGTATTTGTTACGTCTGTAGTGCTGCATTTGAAATATTCAAGTCTCTGCAAGTTGTTAAAAAGCTTCACACTGTTGGTTATTGCAGCTTTTGCCTACAGCTGAACATACACCTTTGCAAGTGGGCTGCATGCAGCTCCTGAGGATGGTGGTGAGCAGACCTGTGCTGGCTTCCTGTGGTGGTTTGGGTCCAAAGAGCTGGCAGCACCTGCGTGACGGAACAGTGTGGAAAACTTCAGGCTTGCCATCCCTGCCCCTCTGACACTGGGACCTCTTCTTTTTAGGAGACCCAAGACTCATTCCTGGGAGGCCTGCAATGAACTTAATGCTGCTGTAAATGCCACCACTATCTTCCCCCAGAACCCAGCAGTTTTGCAGCTCTGCAGAGGCTCAAAGCTTGCCAGCAGCTGGAGTGACCAGCTATGGACAGCTGCTTGAAGATATTCCCCCCTTTGTGCATGCTTTTACATGTATATTTATGTGTATCTTCATCCCATAGTGGATATCATTGAAATGCCTTTGGAAATCAAGAGAGGGTGAGGGTTAATACAGATGCTAAGAGAGAAGGAAACACAGTTAGACTGAAGAAGGATAGGCAATAGCAATTTTGGAGAAAAACAGTAACAATTTTAACAGTAGCTGACATTCTGTTTGGAAAGACAGCAGGAACATTTGTTATCTTTTCTGCCAGAATGGCCGGGTCCTGATTTATTGATATTATCTTGAAGATGACAGAAAAGCGTATTAATCTACTTCAAATGAGAATCTGGGCTTTGAGAACAGATGTTGGCACCTTCTGAGGGACAAAGTGATTGAAATCAATCATACTTTATAACTCACAGCAGTTTCTGTGAGCAACTTGAAGATCCAACTGTCCGCCTAGTACCAGGTTTCCATCAATGGCTGCAATCTGGCTGTCAGAAGCAGCTCCTCAGTTCAAGTTATCCTTGCAGTAATGGTGGCAAGTGGACAGAACCACATGACCCCCGCACATAAATGTCTGACCAGATGTGCAGCAGTGTGAAGATGCAGACCTGACTGAAGACTAAACTGAATTTTATATCCCAAGGCCAAGGTATACAAGCCAAGGTACTCCTAACACATAAAGATGAGCTAGAGGAAGGAGAAAAGACTGAGTTATGCAGGCTTTGAGTGGAGTGGGAAGTGGCAGTCCAAACAGCACATCCATGGAGTAATTTTTCCTAGAAGGAGCCTCTGGAGTT